AGACAGACAGAAAGACACACATACAGAAAGAAAGTCAGACACACACAGAGAGACATAAAGAAAGACACATACACACAGAGAGAAAGACAAACACATGCAGAGACATACAGACACACAGAGACAGAAAACCACACACAGAGACAGACAGACAGAAAGACACACATACAGAAAGTTAGACACACACACAGAGACACACAGAAAGACACATGCACAGAGAGTGAAAGACAGACACATACAGACACACACACACACAGAGAGAGAGAAAAACACACATACATACAGACTTTACTGGGCCTGGCACTCACAAAGGTGCTTATACACTTAACAGTCTACTTGAGGACAGATGTTCTCCCACACCCTAACTCTAGGAGGTCTAACCTGGGCTCCAGACACATGGTAAAGGGAATCATCAACACTGGCGGGAGGGCACCTCACCCATCCTACCCCTTTGCCTGTCTCCTCAGACAGGATCAGTGCCTCCTCTCCGCGAGTGGTGGGTGACGCTCGAGCCCGGGCTCTCTGCACAGACATGAAACGTTGCAGCTACTATGAGACCTGTGCAACCTATGGGCTCAATGTGGACCGGGTCTTCCAGGAGGGTGAGTGCGGTCGTCCCCAGCACATGAGCGTGGAAAGCTGGAGGTCCTGTGATATTTCAGGTTCCCAGTTTCCTGTTCTGTGTTTTCCAGTGACAGGAAATTGGTCTCTGGGAGCGAGGAGGGGTCTGGGAGCCTATGGAAGGCTCGGTTAATTCACAGATTCTTCCTGGGCAGGAGAATCTGGCTAGGCCATAGATGGCAAGGGGGTCTAGAGACAAGGAGCTTGGGACTATCTTATCTCCTGGGGCTTCTCAGAAGAGGACCTAGGAAAGTGATCTTGGGTATCTTTCCTGCTCACGACTCCCCCAACGCCTCTCCCCTCCAGTGGCCCAGAAGGTGGTGACTTTGCGCAAACAGCAGCAACTCCTGGCTGCCTGCAAGTCCCTGCCCAGCTCACCAAGCCATTCAGCCGCTTCGACTCCTGTAGCCGGGCAGGTGAGTTTGGGTGTCGGAGACTGATGTCAACTCCAGAAGTGGGGAAATGAGTGGGCTTCGAGAGCAACATTGTGGCTGGGTGGTGGTGGCACACGACTTGAATCCCAGCACTTCAGAGACAGGGGCAGGTGGACCTCTGAGTTTGAGGACAACCTGATCTACATGGTGAGCTCCAGGAGGGCCAGGGCTGCGCAAGAAAGAAAAGAAAGTAATGTGGACCAGCAATCAGCCAGGCATGAGGAGCCCTTTGCAACGCCTCTAAGCCAGCCACCCTCCCTTATCAGGAAACCAGACTTTGCAACACTTGAAGCGGTGTGACAGAGCTAGGGAAGATTCGTGTTGCCGATGGCACTGGGTGAATTAGGATGGCAGTAGGGAATGTCTCATACTGGGCGTCAGCTTGGCTTGGTGGGTATAGGTGCTACGCTCTGCTGACTCCTCTGTCTGCCTCCAGGCTAGCAACGGGGGCCACACTAGCGACTACTCTTCTTCACTTCCATCTTCACCTAATGTTGGACACCGGGAGCTCCGAGCTGAGGCGGCCACTGTGGCTGGGTTAAGCACCCCAGGGTCCCTACACCGAGCAGCCAAGCGAAGGACCAGCCTTTTTGCGGTATTAGACATACCGGCCCCCTTTTCCTCCTGTCCCGTTGCCTGCCTGTTGTCCTTAGTCTCTGCATGTCTCTGTTGGCTCTCCCTCTTTTCCTTTTCACTACTTCCCATCCTCGTATCCTACCCATCCTCTGGCTAATTCCAGTAACCATTCCAGAACCGTCGGGGCAGTGACTCTGAGAAGCGGAGCTTAGACAGTCGGGGAGAGACAACAGGGAGTGGGCGAGCCATCCCCATTAAACAGGTAAGGGGTTTGGGAGCTGAAGAAGGGTCGGAAGCAGCCGTTCTTAGCTGACTTTTCTCCCACACATCTTCTCGCTCTTCCAGAGCTTCTTGCTAAAGAGAAGTGGCAATTCCTTGAACAAAGAATGGAAGAAGAAATACGTGACTCTTTCTAGTAATGGCTTTCTACTCTACCACCCCAGCATTAATGTAAGTAGCCGAGATGGTTCACACCAGAAAACTCTGGATGTCCTTCTAGTTCTTTCTGTGCCTCTGACAAATCCTGGCATCATTTCCAGGGGCCTTTAGTTCTGTTCTCTTAGGCTTATGAAGCTTGTCTGTAATGGGCATAGGAAGGTAAACTCCTTGCCCCAAGGACTTGCAGTCAGTGGGAGAGTACCATGGACAGGCCCCAGGGAGGCCTGCCATTTAAGGAATGCTTCCTGGCCAAGTCTGACAGGACTGCCCCCTACGAACTCTTCCCAGTCCAGTCAGCTCTCAGAGCCCCTCTGTATCCTGTTAATACTGTTTACTTTCCAGCACAAAAGCTGAAAGCCCCCCCCCCCCGCCCGCATGCCACTCTGAGTCCTGTACCTCTACAGGATTACATCCACAGTACACACGGCAAAGAGATGGACTTGCTACGGACAACTGTCAAAGTCCCAGGCAAGCGGCCCCCAAGGGCTATCTCTGCTTTCGGCCCCTCAGCCAGCATCAACGGGTTGGTCAAGGACATGAGCACCGTCCAGATGGGCGAAGGTCCTGGTGAGTGGGGTCCAGGAGTGCACAGGGAAGGAGACAGGGACAGAGGAAGGTGGCGAGAGGAGTTGGTGCTACCCTGGCTGTGTGGGGTGGCGACTGACTCAGGGACAGGCTCACTGATATTTCTCCCTCTCCTTCCCCCAGAAGCCACTACTCCTATGCCCAGCCCCAGCCCCAGCCCCAGCTCCCTGCAGCTTCCACCGGACCAGACATCCAAGCACCTGCTGAAGCCAGATCGGAATTTGGCCCGGGCCCTTAGCACCGGTTAGTGGGACCATCCTCCATCTACTGGCTTCCAAATCCAAATGGGATCTGGGTGGGAAGTGAAGTAAAGTGGAGGCTTGGTGCAGGAACAAATGTTCGAGGGAACACAAGGGCTGCCTGCTGGGTGACTGGCGCTGAGTTCATATGCTGTGTCTGTCATGGCACAGAAGACAGCAAGACTCTGGAGCTAGTCTGCCTGTCTGAGCTCAGATCCTTAGTTTGCCATGCCACGTGACCTCGCCATGCCTCAGTGTCTGCCCTATAGGAAGTTTCACCGAGGTTTAGTTTAACAAGCTGTGGACCTTGACCAACCAACCAGCACATAGTCAGCCATCAGTGTTGGAAGTGTTTGGAAATTATATCTATAAATTGTATTCCATTTGTAGAGTATACAAATATAGACATGAATAGGAAGTAACACCTTAGTAAATGTTTCTCACAGCAACTTATCAGGTCAACGTTACTATCCCCATTTTAGGGATGAAAAAAAATCTGAGGCTCAGAAAATAAATTAACTTGTTCAAGGTCTCAAGGCTAGTAAGTTGCACAGCCAAGAGTTGAACACGGGCTGGAAAGGTGGCTCAGCAGTTAAGGGTACCAGCTGCTCTGCCGGAGGACCTGGGTTCAATCCCCAGCATCCATATGGCAGCTTACAACTGTATCTCCAGTTCCAGGGGATCCAATCCCCCCCCTCCACATAGACATCCATGTACACAAAACACCAATGCACATAAAATGAAAATAAATTATTTTTAAAAAGAGCTGAATGCAGATCTGATTCTAAAACCCTCCCCTGCCCTCCTCCCAGGAATGATGCAGAAGGGGGGGGCTCTTGGACAGGGACAGCTGAGGAGGAATATCCTAAAATGGAAGTTCAGGGCAGGATACAAGTTATAGGGAAGTCTATGGAAGGGCAACCGAGGCACTGTGTCCCCTTCCCTAAGACTGTACCCCATCTGGAGACCTGAGCCCCCTGAGTCGGGAACCCCCACCATCTCCCATGGTAAAGAAGCAGAGGAGGAAGAAATTGAGCACACCATCCAAGACTGAAGGCTCAACCGTGCAGGCTGAAGGTGAGGCTGTGGTGGGGGCGGGGTTCCACTCCCACTTCGGACCCTCATCCCGTATCCGAACCCCTGACCTAGCTCTCGCAGAGCAGGAAAAGTGTGTGAACTGAGTGTCTGACTGTCATCACCACTGCACACAACTCAGTGGGGAAATGGATGGACACCACCCAGCTCCTGTCCACCCCACTGCTCCCAGCTCCTGCTCTTTTCTCCTAGTTCCCGCCCTCATCTGCACCTCTGACCCCATCCTTTGCACCCATATTTGGTACTGCAACCCCTATTGACTCCCCAGCCCCTGCTCTCAATAACCCACAGTTGGCAGGTTCATCCAAGAGGCCTTGGGCGTTCACCCCATACCTGTCCTCGTCCCCACCCCACCCCCCAATAACAATCCCTGCTCCCAGTTCTACTGCCTTCTGAGCCCCGGGCCCCTTATCTCTGCCCCTTTCCTACTGTTCACACAAAGTCTGACATCCCTCCCCCTACAGAGACCAGATTTCTCTCTAGTCACAAAACCTGCCTGGCCTCCCCACCCCCTGCCGCCCCGTTCTTTGCCGGGTGCTGAGACCCGGGTTCCAGATCTGCCGACTCTCCTGGCTCTTGGCTTCCGCTCCACTCTGCTCTGGGGCCACTGACTTTGGTTCTGCTTTCTCTCCCCATCTGTCTGTCCTGCTTCGTCTCTGGCTCTCTCTGTCACTGTCTCTCCATCTCTCCATCTGCCTCTTCCTCCTTTCTTGGTCTCTTTCTCTGTCGGACTTTCCATTCTGTCTCTATCTCCTTCGCTTCGGGAAACCAGCCAAGCGCAAAATGTGGAAACTAAAATCCTTTGGTAGTTTAAGAAATATTTATAAAGCAGGTAACAAGCGGGAGCCGGGAGGGGTGCTAAGCTGGGGGTGCAGAGGGATGGGGTGCCCTGCTTCTCCCTGCATGTGCTCGGGCTTCCTGCTGTTTCCCACCCTCTGCTTCCCCTCCCCCCACTGTCCCACTCCTAGGGGTTCCAAGGACATCAGGGAGGAAGGGTTTGGGGAAGGCCTCCTGCTTGAACTCTGTCCCTCATGACTTCTCCCATCCACCTACCCAGAGGAAAACTTTGAGTTCCTGATCGTGTCCAGCACTGGGCAGACGTGGCACTTTGAGGCAGCCAGCTTCGAGGAGCGGGATGCCTGGGTTCAGGCCATCGAGAGTCAGATTCTGGCCAGTCTGCAGTGCTGTGAAAGCAGCAAGGTCAAGGTAAACGCTTTTGAGGCTATTGATGGAAACTAGCAACAGTGGCTGGGGATCAGAGGTGCAGCTCCGACCTCACTTTTTTCTGCAGCTGCGCACTGACAGCCAAAGCGAAGCTGTGGCCATCCAGGCAATCCGAAACGCAAAGGGAAACTCTACCTGCGTGGACTGTGGAGCTCCCAGTGAGTGCGAGGCGAGGGCACTGCTAAAGGAACTGGGAAGCAGGATCCCAGACTAAGGGCGTTAGCTGGAGTCTGGCGGAAATGTGGAGTGTCTTGTTGACATGCTGCCAACCGGAATTTACCGCTTGTGTTGCATCCTTTCCCCAGACCCCACGTGGGCCAGTTTGAATCTGGGTGCGCTCATCTGCATTGAGTGTTCTGGCATCCACCGGAACCTGGGCACACACCTGTCCCGCGTGCGTTCGTTGGACTTGGACGACTGGCCGCGGGAGCTGACCCTGGTGCTGATGGCTATTGGCAACGACACGGCCAACCGCGTGTGGGAGAGCGACACTCGGGGCCGTGCCAAGCCCACGCGGGACTCTTCGCGGTAAGGATAGAGCATCAGTGTGGAGAGGGTACGGTTCCTGGGAGGTCCTGATTAGAGGTTCCCTACAACTCTTTCCCTTGGTCCCTGGTACTGCAGGGAGGAGCGTGAGTCGTGGATTCGCGCCAAGTACGAGCAGCTGCTGTTCCTGGCGCCTCTGGGTACCACAGAGGAGCCGTTGGGCCGCCAGCTGTGGGCCGCTGTGCAGGCCCAGGACGTGGCCACTGTTCTGCTGCTTCTGGCCCACGCTCGACATGGGCCACTCGACACCAGCGTGGAGGACCCGCAGCTCCGTTCGCCGCTCCACTTGGCGGCTGAGCTCGCCCACGTTGTCATCACGCAGCTGCTGTTGTGGGTACGTGAGCGGAGAGGTAGGGAAAGGGAGCTCGGAGGTGGGCTTGGAGGCGTAGAGTGGGAGGTGTGCGGGTGGAGGTACCCTGGATGGCGCGTGGTCATCCGACCCTTTCCTCCTGCAGTACGGCGCAGATGTGGCGGCCCGTGATGCGCAGGGCCGCACGGCCCTGTTCTACGCCCGCCAGGCTGGCAGCCAGCTGTGTGCAGACATCCTCCTCCAGCACGGTTGCCCGGGAGAAGGCGGCAGCACAGCCACCACACCGAGCGCGGCCACCACCCCCAGCATTACCGCCACGCCCAGCCCGAGGCGCCGGAGCAGCGCTGCCAGCTTGGGCCGCGTGGATACCACGATAGCGCTGGTATAGTTGCTCAGCAACGGGAGAGACACCCTCCCACCCCTGCGCGGGCCGGGCACGACCACACCGGGTGGACCGCTGGACAGATGCACCCACTCACCTCTCCAGTCCGCACCCCGTCCCACTGGAGCACTTCCTACCCCCCCACGAGGGCACAGCCCCACACGCCTCCCAGGAGACACAAACTCACCTCCCTCTCCCCACGAGGCATGGAGACCCTAGCTCAACACGCCCCTACTCCACTGTTTCCATACTTGGATTACCCTGGGTCTGTCTACTTGCTGCCTTTGCAGCTGTACGGCTCCAGGGCGCTCGGACTTACTGGCTCGTCCCCACCTAGGGGCGGGTAAAAGATCCAGTCCTGCCTGCGTTCTACAATCTGGTGGCCGAAGCCCAAAACCCAGGCTGGCTCCTGGGGCAACGCCACGCCAGAGGGGAGGGGTTAGTAGGTGGAGGACTAGTCCTGGGACTTGGGACCAATATGGGGACCCCACCCCTTCCATGCTGATCTCACTGCCCAGTGAGGGGGAAGGGCGGCGAGGGGCAGGACCCCTGCTGCCCGTGGAGGTGGAGGGGTCCCCAACCCTTTCTGTGAAAGGGTCCACGAGGAGTGGAAATCAGAATCCCCCTCTACCTGTCTATGAATGGAAGCTAAAGAGCCAGGGGGAGCCGAGAGCCTGGGTTCTTCCCCTTACGATCTTGGGGTGGGGGAGAAGGATTGGAACAGGAGGGGGCTAGAGAGGGGCCTTGTAATTTATTGCTTTGTTCCCCAATATGGGGATGGGGTGGGTAGGGGCGAGGGGAGGGCATTTCAGGGTAGGGGAAGCCAAGGGTGGGCAGGGGTGGGGTGGGGTGGGGGTGCTCTCGGGTTGTGTCTGTGACTGTGACTGCGTACGTGTGATTGTGCAGCGCCCGTGGTGATCTGGGGAAGGGGGCACCCCTACAATGGGGCCCCTCCCCCACAATCCTTTCTGTCCAGCCCCTCTCTTACTGGAGCAGCTCCAGATCTGTGTTTCTATCCTTTGCTCCCTCCCAGCCAGGGCTGAGAGGGTGTGCAGTGGTTGGGAAGGTGTCCAGGTCCTGGCCCCATCCCAGAAAGGGGGAATTGGAATGGATTTACCTAGCCCAGCCCTGCTCCCTTAGTCAACCCAGGCTTTGGGCCGTCTGTGTCAGTGGTTTCCGGTCTTTTTTTTTTTCTTCCTGGCTAAAATATTTTGCAAAAGACCAGGTAATCAGAGAGTGGAGTGAGGAGGGGGCAGGGGTTGCCCCCCTCACCTTCAAAGCAGGTTATGTGAATCTTTAACAGAAATTAAAGAGGAAGTGGTTTTGTCTAGGGGGTGAGCTGCTGGTTTGTTATTGAAGAGGCAGGCGAGGGTATGGTATTGGTTGGGGCACTGGAGACGGGAAAGGGCCAGGCAGAGGTCCCTTCTGGGCTGGAGTCAGGGCAGTACCCACAGGCACAGAGGTAGTCTCAGCTTTGTGCAATCCTGGGTTTGTGAGGTAGGGGCAATGGTAGGGGATTGATGCCAAACTTCGCAGAGTTGGAGCATGTGTTTGGAGAAACACAGACCTGGGGAGTTGAGGTCTGAAACAGTGGGCTTGTTTGGGTTCAAGAATGAGATTTAGTTTCAAAACCTGGCCCACGTTCCTTAGGGGATGCTGGACAAGTGACTTCAGGGACATATGTTGAGAGGGTGCCTGTAAGTGCTGTGATCCGGAGGAGGCACTGCCCTAGGTTAGCCTGCTCAGTAGGTTACCTTGATCATAGGTATCAGAGCCAATAGAGGGTGCCAGGGACTGCAGGGGTAAGAGCTTTCTCAACCATTTGCAGTTCCCACATGTCCACAAGATTCATGCCAGTTGATGTAGGCATTTGCCCACTTCATTATAAGGTCACCACAGGTCATGGAAACACCACAGCCTGTTGCATAGTCAACCCTGCTGTTTCGGGGGGTGTAGAAGTATAAGCATCAGGCCTGATAAAGGCTAGGGTAGTAGCAAATGCAGGTTTGGTCCCACATGCTGTAGTGCATCATAAGGACTCGGTTGGTGGTATTAGTGTCCTTGGGTAGAGTTCACTCTGACCCTTGGGTGTCCTTCGTAAGTCTTCATCTTTGGAAGTGTGGGAACTGATAGGATCTGGTCATAGCTCTGGAAGCTGTTCTGCAGAGCCTCACACATCAGGATGACCCAGGGAGGAATGGACTTGAGGGCGGGGACAGACTCATAGGGAGTTGTGTGGTCTGGGTAAAGACCGGAAGACAGGCAGGTCCTACTGCCTATCAGCTGAGACCGTTGGTTGTCTTCCTCTCCATCTTCCTCAGAAGCTCAGGGTGTTAGATACGGGGAGGAACAAGGGCCCTGGACAGAAGGAAGCCACTTGTCAAGAGATCCGTAGACCAGTGGAAAATGGTGAGGAGTTTGGCAAACCACTGCCCAGTAATTGATTTCTTTTAATGAGTTTCGTTAGTCTTGTGGGATGAGGTCCAGGCTGTGGCAGAATAGAAAGGGCACCTCTGCATGGGCACAGGCAAGCTGCTCCCTTCATACCCATGCCCCACAAGCAGCCATGTGCTTCTACACTTGGGTTCTTGTCCCTGACCCTCCCTACCCTCTTCTGGGTGCCATCTGCCACACACCTGCTGCGCTCTTCCTATTATTTGCCTTAGCACAGCTGAGACTGCCTGACCTTCATGGGAACTCTGCCAAAAGTCGACAGACAGGAAAAGAGAACAAACTGATTCAATGGGTTCTGTGTTTTCTGACCACGCCGAGGCACTAAAGGTAGCCTGCCCAGCTTCCTGATCAGTCCAAGGGTGTCTCCCATAACTGGACAGCAGCTTTTAGGATCCTCTAAGACGCCCTCCATCTCCTATCTCTTCAGAGCTCAGCTGCTCAGTTTTCAAGACTGTCCTGTGCAGACTGTCACCCCCCCTTCCTCATTACTGCCCCCTGGAGGACGGTGCTTGGTCAGCATCAGAAGGGAAACTGCTTCTTTCAGGCTCTACAGGATTTCCTGGTGAAGGGGGTGCTAATTGAACCCAGTGGCCTGCCTATGGCCACTCACAACTCCCAAGTTCTCACGCAGCTGTGGCATCTGTCCCCTTGAGAGGGTCACGTGGATGTGGGAAACTGTTCTGGTCCACATTTCCACACAACTTAAGCATAACACACACAATTAGCACTCCTCCAGCCCCATGAGTTCCTTAGTAACCAGAGCTCTTGGCTTCCACTTCTGGGAATGGCATAGCAGCACACCTTCTTCAGTCCTTTCCTCTTGGGAGCCCCCTTTGTCTCCAGAAGGGGCTCTTCTGGAGACAAAGGGATTCTCTTAGCTGGGGACCCAAAGGAGAGACCACCCCTTTATTATCCTCAGGGTCCTCCACCTGGGAGAGAAAACAGGGTAAGAGGGGCCCACAGTTGTCCTAGGCAGTCAGAAGGAGATGGAGACACCTGTCTCTGGAATACTCTGGAGCCGGAGTGTAGGCAGCAGCCCTGCCATGGTTGTAGGTGGAGTTTCCCAGGGAATGGTAAATAACAGGGGGAGGGGCTAGCAAGTGGAATCCGGAGCACGCTGTAGGAAGGAAGAGGCCCAGTGTGGGCGTGGGAGGGTCTCTGCAGGACACCTCTTGACTTTCAGGGTGTAAAGGGGGTGAGGATTGGGAAAGAATTCTCAAGTGCAAAGGCTGGTTGGGTGCAGCCGGCAGCACAGCGCTCACCTAGCATGGGTGAGGCCCTGGGTTGGTCCCCCAACATGGCAATCTTTTTTTCCCCCTAGAACTAAGGGCTAGGAAGAGATGGTGAAAGGAGGGATCAAAAGCCTCCTGTAGCTGTGCCGCTGCTCTCAGGATTCTCATCCCTTCAGAGCACAGACGCTGGTTTATAAGACACTTGTGTCCCTCAGGGACCCCCCTTCCGTCCTCTGGCCAGTGTCTGGCCAGTCTACCAAGAGGAGGGCAGCATTTCTCTCCAGATCGGTGGACTTTGTTCAGCTGGCCTGACCTCTGCCCGTGTACCCCAGGCACACCGGTACATTCTGGGAGGGTAGAGCAAACAGGACCAGAGGACATGTCCCCAACCTAAAAAGACGGACCAGCCCTCCCCACACAAAGGCCGATGCACTGATGGTCCAGTTCTTTATTTAGAAACCTGAAGAACATGGCGGGTGGCTCCATATCCAACCCACTTGCTGGGATTGTGTGTGAGGTGATGTGTAAGGTCTCCTATTCCCTCAGCGACAGAGGTGAGGGCTTCTGACTCAGAATCACAGACAACAGGACAGCAGGAACAGGAAGGAGGAAGACCGAGGGAGGGGCAAGCAGCTCTCAACAGCAACAGGGCATCAAGGTGGGGTGGGGGTGGGGTCTGCTTTCTTGAAGTCTGTCCAGCTCGCCTGCTTTTCCCATCATGTCCCACTCACAAGATCTTACCATGTCTCTGGGTAAAATGGGGTACGCGCTAAGAAATCAGGGGCAGGGAAACTCAAAGGGGCAAAGAAAGGCATGTTTGGGGAGTGGAGCCCATAGGCCTGGCTGAGGCTCCCTGGAGCTGGAACAGCTCTTCCTCATGGGGCCCACACACACCTTCTGGGCTGGGACCCTCAAGTCCAGAGCTTGGCTTCAACCTGACCTTTTGCCTCCGGGGCCCCAAGGTGGGAGATGAGGAGGCAGAGCCAGTCAGGAAGATTCTGGAATCCTTGGAAGGACCGGCAATGCTGGTTTCAGAAGTCAAACTCATCCAGGTCCCCAGTGTCCTCACCACCTGGAGAGCCCCACACCCGGCGGTAATTGCTCTCCAGCTCTTTCTGACGTTGCCGTTCCTTACTGGCCTCTTCAGCTCCCTGCACCTGGGAGGAAAGGGGGGTTGAGCCGGAAGGACTGCCTGTAGCCAAGGGAAGTCCTGAGCTGTGGAATCTGGGGGGTCCTGAGACGGTGGTGGGAGGTAGGGACGGGGGATATGGCCTCCAAAGGAGTTCTCCCTGAGTAGCAGCTGAAGCGTAGCTTCACCTCAGACAGCAGGATGGCTGGCAGTGGACGGCTGGTGTAACCAGGCCTTGATTTCAGCAGCACAGTGGGGTGAGCTGAGGGCCCAGGACTTGGGTGGGATGCCTCACCAAGATATTGAAGAAGATCTCCTTAAGGTTTTTTGTGTCTTCATCAGTCAGCCAACGTGTGTCCTCCTCATTACCTTCAGCCCCAGGTCGCACGATTTTGATTTCAATCTTGCCTGGAAGGTGCAACACGGGCAGTGAGGACAGGAAAGGCTTGGAGCTTTAGAGGGTCCCCTGCCCTCCAGGTCCCAAGCCGGAGGTCACCAGTCCACCTTGACCCAGCCCTGCCACTCCGGCGCTCTAAGCCCCTCCCTTCAGGGCCCACCTTGGGCGGCGAGCCCCTCCCTCTCCAGCACTTCTTCCACCAGCCCCTCGATCTGTCTCAGCTGTGGGTTTTCCCGTTTCATCTCCAGGACAGTCAGATCCCGATTCGGGCCTCCATGACGGAGCTTGGTGACTCGAACCCGGACTCTGTGCTCAGGCTCCTCCTCTTCCAGGGGAAGACACAGGGAGACACAAAGCAGAGCCATCGTGACCCCAGGGGGAAGGGCTGTGGGGGCTCCTCTCTAAGCCACGGGCTGGTTTGGGTGGTGGCTCTTCCTGCCATGAATGTGATCCAGTAGCAGCCCCCACCCCCGCTTCCTACCCTGTAACTCACACCCTTCCCCAGTAGCAGCCCTCCCCTTAACTCTCCCATCTTCTATAGGAAAACAGCTGCTCTCTGAAAGCCAGATCAAGCCTCCTGCATCGGCAGAGGTGCTTTGCTTTCAGGAGCAGGCTGGAAAGCCATGGCTCGGTTTTCCACATGCTGAGACTTAACAATCAAGTCTTCAGTGTCTACCCAAAGGGTGGGAGGGAAGGTTTGAAACTGGAATATTCTATTTGGAATGCCTTCTCTCTCCACACCAGAAACATTCCATGAAATGAACCTAAGGAGATGCAAGAAGGAATAACTGAAGTGTGTCCGGGCTGGGGGCTGGGGGCTAGTGCCAATGGGCTTGCCTGGCGGCCGCACTGACAGCTAAAACCTTTCACACCGACCACACCTGCCACTGTTGGTCCACCTTCCACCGTTTCACTATGGAAACCCCTAAACTGTCTGTCTCTTCCCCAACCCCCACCCACAAGGAGGGTGACGAAGAACCCCTTCGTGAATGAGTGCTCTTCAGCATCTAGGTTTGTGGGCATTAGTTACTGCCTGTGTGCTAGGCAGCACGCTAGACAGCGGGCAGAAAGAGCAAACCAGAGACCAAGGCCGACTCCTCCAGAAGGGTGATTCTGAGGTGTCCATGCAGGGAAGACCATAGAGGGAGGAGTCAGCACTGAGAACAATGCTCCCACCTTTGGGAAGGTTGTTCCCATGGCCTGCCCTCACCTGTAGGAGGCCGTGACGGGGGAGGCTTCTGAGGGACCACTCTCTTTTTCTTGTGCTTCTGAACCAGATCCGGACTCTGGTTTTCCTGCAGCCTCTTGATAAGCTTGTCGAGAGTGGATGTCAGAGCCAATATTGCCTGTTCACGTTCTGACTCCTTCCTCAGCCCATCTGGGTCTAGTTCCTTCTCTGTCTGGAAGGCCCAAAGAAGGTGGTAGTTAATGCTCTGGGGGACAGAGATCAGGGGCATGCTCGGTAGGAGAGCCAGCCGTCTTCCTTTCCTTCATCCCGTCCTGCGCCACAGACACACGCATCTGCTCACCTCCTGGATAATGTTTTCCAGCTCCCGCTCCATGCCAGCCTTAACCTCCGAGCGGAGCCGCTCTCGGTCTGAGGGAAGCAGCATCCCTTCCAGCTCCTTCTCGAATTCTCCCAATAGCTGCCGCTCCTCCTCATCTTCCTCCTCCTCTTCCTCCTCTTCTTCATTGTCCTCGTCTTCCACAACAGCCTGAGGTCCCTCACCCTTTTCCTTCAGCTCCGCTTCCCCCGGAGGGGCCCCCGTGGTATCATCTCCGGGATGCTGCTGCTCTGTGCTTGACTTCTCCTGGATCGGGTGGGAAGGAGACGGAGGCTTCAGTCACAACAGGTGTGTGTAGCACAACTGAGCAGTGACAGGGCGTGGTGGTGGGGCCAGCTCTATTGGGCCCAGGTTGTCCCAGGTTCAGATCTCTCTTGGATGCTCACAGCCGGGAGGCAGGTCCTGCCCGCCCTCGGGCTGGGCCCTACCTTCTTTGCGCCACCTTTCAGTTCCTCTATCAAGCGAATCAGGTCTGCAGGGCTCCGAATGACTTTGACCTGCACGTTGTTCTGAAAATCTGAGGGGGGAAAGAGCAGGTATGGGCATTTGCATTTTAAGTCCTCTCTTGACGCTGGAGGAGAGGAACGATGGGCAGATGGGCAAGGTCTCTGCCTCGGGCAGCTGGCTGGCTGGCAGCTGAGAGAAGGCAAACAAACCCCTCGGTTTCATGGCGGGCACATGAATGCCAAAGCACTAAGTCCCCTCCTTCTCCATGAACACCTGAATCTTTTTTTTTTTTTTTGGGGGGGGGGGGGGCGGGGGGGGGGCAGTCAACACTCTAGTTTTTAGAACCATAGAGGAGATTCAGGGTTAAGGAGTTCCTTTGTACTGGATCTTGCTTTCTGCAGAGACTTGGCATTGTCTCAGCTCTAGGCATTCTGTGAAGTACAGATCCCTTTCCGTTTACCCTCTCAACTCTCGAGGGTGTGGCTCCACTCACATTTCATAGGTGGGCAAACTGACATTACATGATATTTCCTGGGAGTGCAGAGTTAGTAAATGGTAGAGCCCCAGTGCCCTTTGACCTCCTTAAGTGGTCCTGCTGCTCAGGAAGAGGTAATGCTGTAAAAGTGAGGTCACAGGGGCAGGGGGATGGCTAAGTGGTAGAGCATCAATGTGCAAGGATCTGGGTTCAGTTCTTGGCACCATGAGAAATGGAGGAGGCGGGGGAGGAATGTTGACCTCTGAGTGTTCAGCGCTACTCTACCTCACCTGAGGACTAAAGGAGACAGAGTTGACTAACCATCGCGAGGGTTGGGAGCTGGATCTGCTGCAGCCTCAGGGTTCAAGTCTTGCTCCTGAAGAGGAGAGAGGGCAGACTCAGGCATGAAGGCTTGTTGATGCCCTCCCTGCTCCTCAAGCAATATCCCTTCATTCTGAGACACTTTAGGGACTCTACCCATCCCAGAGCCTGCCCAGGCTCATCAGAGAGACAGCTGAGAGACCATTCTCACCCCTGCCTGTGCCTCCTCTCCTCCTGCTGCCTGCTCCTCCGGCTCATGTAGCATTTTCCAAAGCTCTGACTCCTTATCTTCCTTGGCTGGGCTGACCTCTGGGGGGGACAAAGGACAAAGGCAATGTGAAAAGGGGGGCGAAGAAGGGAGCAAAGGAGGAGACAAACTCCCTTGTGTTGCCACTGGGTTAGAGACCACCCACAGCTGCCAACACGGGACAGTAAAATGGGGGAAGGAAGGCAGTGGTGGCCGTTCCACGGAATGGCCAAAAGCACACCCTACCTTCCATCTTTGGGGCTACTCCAGCAGACTTGGTCTCACTCCCAACTTGGTGGTCTGTGTCTTGAACCTCCTCTGTGATTTTCTCTTCAAGTTGTTTTGACTCTACCAGAAAAACAGTGTGCAGACAGGATAAGGACCGGCTCCAACGCTACTGCGCCCGCCTGTCCCATCCCCACCTCTCTCCTGGATGACTTACCAGCTTGCCTCTGGAGGTAGGCCCTGTACTCCTCGGGCTGCAGGGCTGGGTGACAAAGAATGGCCTGTGGAGCAGCGCTGGCTGGGGGCCGAAGGAGAGGGTGGGGGCAGAGCCGCGAGGTCCGAACGGTCAGGACATAGGAGCAGGACAAGGGCTCATCCACGCGATCGATGTAGTCCCCAGATATACCCGCGCCTTCATCACAAAGGAACTGCGGCAGGGCAGGGAGGGAAAGTCAGTGGTAAAACCACCAAAATACCTTTGGTTCTCAGAGCGGCTGGCTGGTGCTAAGCAGTTCTTATGCCAGACTAAACAGATTTGATTATTTGGTTGTCTCAGAGACCCAGTAAGAAAGGCATTAGCATGCCAGGCAGTGACAGTGCACGCCTTTCATCCCAGCAGGTAGAGATAGAGGAAGGCAGATCTCTTGTGAGTTTGAGGCCAGCCTGGTCCACAGAGCTAGTTCCAGGCCATCCAGCACTGTTACACAAAGAAACCCTGTCTCAAAAAAAACCAAAAAACAACCACCACAAAAAAACCAAACTTGTCCCACTTGCTCAGGCGACCATTTGGTAAGAGGCAAAAACAGAAGAGAAATTAGGCAACTTAACTGTAGATAGACAATCAATCTTTGTATCGCTTCCTTGCTTTGTGCAAACAATGTGTGGCGGCTGGGGAGGGGGCTCGGCCAGTCAAGGTACTTGAAATCAACTAATGATCTGGGTTTGATCCCCAGGGTTCCACACGGTGGAAGGAGAGAACCAACTCCCACAGACAGCTCTCTGACACCCATACATGTGCTGTGGCATGCGCTCTCACACACAATAATTCAGCACCACATACACTTGAGATTGCAACGGCACAGATATGAGCATGGCCCCTGCGCGAGAATGCCATGCATACTCAGAAGTGTCGCAGGAATGATGTGCATGTTCAGGAAGTTTCCCTCATTTTTTTTTTTTTGAGTGTGTTTAAACATGGTGGAGCAAACCTGTAATCCCATCACTTAGGAGACTAAGTAGGACAATTGTTGTGATCTCAAGACCAACCTGGGCTACTTAGCAAGTTCAAGGCCAGCCTGGGCTACAGTAAAAACTAATCAACCGAGTGAGTTGGCTGCTTCACTCATAGACGGGGAGGCTGAGGGGGAAGAATCTGAGGTTCAAGGCTAGCCTGGGCTACCCAGCAAGTTCAAGGCTAGCCTGGGCTACCCAGCAAGTTCAAGGCCAGCCTGGGCCACAGTGTAAGATCTTGTCACAAAAAGGAAAAAGAGAAGGAAAGAAAAAGAACATTTACACTCTGATAATAAAAAGATAAATAACCCAATTTAAAACTGTTAAGAGTTAAATAGACATTGCCTTAGGGAAGAGAAATGATCAATAAACAGATGAAAATACACTATCAAGGAAGTGCCAACCAAAACCATAAGGAGATGCCACTCTACACTCACCACAAAGGCTATGGTGAGGAAGGTAATACCAAGCCCTGGCCAAGACATAGAAATTGAAAACCTTACAAACCACTGGTGGGATTGGGAAATGGAGCTGCTAACTGGGAAAACAGTTCAACCTCGAAGGTTAAACAGGGAGGTATGTGGTTCCTGGGAAAGCCCTGGCCGGCATGCACAAGATCAGTATTCAGTCCCGAGCATGGAGAAAAAGGAAGTCCCATGTGGGGCTGGAGAGATGGCTCTGAGGTTAAGAGCACTGGTTGCTCTTCCAGAGGTCCTGAGTTCAATTCCCAGCAACCATATGGTGGCTCACAACCATCTGTAATGAGATCTGGTGCCTTCTTCTGGCCCGCAGGCAGAACACTATGCACATAACAAATAAATAAATAAAAAAAAGAAAGTCCCATGTTGGGAATATTATTTAAAGGTATATTTACTTTTGTTTATGCTGCATTGGATTAACTGGAGCTGTGATTCTTTGCCTGTTAAAACACCCAATGGTCCTGATAAGAGCTGGAGAGATGATGGCTCGGGTTGAGAGCACTGGCTGTTCGTCCAGAGAACCAGGGTTCATTTCCCAATGCCCACATGGCAGTTTCAGTTCCAGGGGACCTGACGCCCTCACACAGACATAAACGCAAGCAAAACACCCGTGCATATAAAAATAAATAAATCTTTTAAGAAAAAGGAGCTGAACAGTCAGTAGCGAGGCAGGAGCAAGGATAGGCAGGGCTGGTAGGCAGAGAGGATAAACAGAAGAAAAATAACGAGAAACAAGAGGAGGAGGAAACTAGGGACCAGTCACCAACCAGCTATGGGGCAGGAAGGAAAATAAGATACACGAACTAAGAAAGAGGCAAAAGGTGGTGGGGATAACTAAAAATAAGAAAAGCTGGCTAGAAATAGCCAAGCTATGGCCAAGCATTCATAACTAAGAATAAACCCCTGTGTGTATTTATTTGGGAGCTGGGTGGTGGGCCCCTCAAAAAGACAAAGGAGTCAAAGTGAAACATCACACAACAGTGCCAACTCTTCACTTAAAGACACTGTCAGAGTAGTTACAAAAGCAACTGTGCTCTATCGATATCATGCAGGTGAAATGCTATGGATGTCACTTAAAACACAAAGTCTGGGGATGAAATTAATTTTAGCATCATACTTCTTTATCTTGCCATTGCCTCTCTCTCACAGCTCACTGACCACATCTTTACCTGTTGTCTACGGAAATATCACTAGCAGCTAGAAAAAGACGTGGCATTGAAGGCTTCATAAATATTGGTGAACTAAATTAATAAAGAGCCCACAGATAAAAGACTAATTAAAAACAATAAACAAGTTGATATCGACAGCAGGAGACCAGCCAATATGGATACAGAAGATCTGGGCAACACAATTCAATTGAAAATCATGATCTAAGATAGTAGACGACGTGAGCACGTGTTCTCTGCGTGCATGTCCAAACACTGATGTATACTGGACCACGGAACCAGACACTACAAACCTAACAGGACTCGAAATTAAATGGTGGTGCACTTTTCTGGTTGCAATGTAACTAACAAGAAATCGATAAAGGCTAAACCACACCTGTGTAATCCCAGCATTTAGGAAGTGGAGGCCGGATGATCAGGAGATCAAAGATAGTTTGGGTTACAGGAAACAGTGTCTTAAAAGGCTCTCCACGTCCCCCAAATAGATATACAGTAGACCCAGACATCAGAAAAAGAAGAAACTTCTGGCAGAGCTGGGTATTACTGGTGGTCGAATTTTGCCTGCCATGCACAAGGCGCTGGTTTGACTGCCAGTACAAGAAAGGAAGGGTGGGGAGGGGGTGACGACAAGGGGAGAGGGAGGGGGAGAGGAGAAGGGGGGAGAAGTCTTTCTAGGGAAACTAAAAAGGAAGATTAAAAAATGGTGGTAGCTGGGTGGTGGTGGCGCACACCTTTAATCCCAGCACTCGGAAGGCAGAGGTAGGTGGATCTCTGTGAGTTTGAGGCCAGCCTGGCCTAAAAGACCCTGTTTCAAAAATAAGTAAATAAATCATAAAAATTCAAATAAGTCAGATCATAAGTAGTTATAGGAAACATATATATAAAACAACCTTTTGTCATAACAAAGGCTGGGGCAAGCAACTTCAGGTAGCACAGCATTGGCAGTGAGACGGTGGGCATTTGTGCTCTGGGGTATTTACTACACAGCTGGACACACTGCCTTAGAAAGAGCTGAAAGGAAGAGAGGCAGGTGTAGGCTCACACCCTGCAAACACAACACTCGGGATGAGGGACAGGAGGGTCCAGAATGCAAAGCCAGCCTGTCTCAAAAAACAAGCCAACAAATACCCTAAGCAAAACAAAGGGATCGGGATTTGTTTACTGTAACTTGTGGACAGATAAAGGAAAGAAGAATCTTCACAGTTAAAAAGAAAGAGGAAGGTGGAAAGGGATTTCCCACGGGGCAGACGAACAGTGATGCCCAGGTATGAGAATTACAGAGAAGCCAATGTGACCCAAGAGGGATGGAGAGAGGAGCCCAATTACAGAAGACAATGTGGTGGCACACACCAGTTACTCCAGTTGCCAGGCAACTGATCTAGGAGGTGGAGGCCAGGGATCAGGAGTTCAAGGCCATCGTCTCCTACATAGTGAGTTTGAGTTTCTTTATATATATATACAAAATGAATCAAGGGCTGGAGGCATGGCTCAGAGGTAAAGCATTTGCTTGGGCTGCAGGCAGGCATGCATAGGACCCAGCTCGTAGTGGGGCTGGGGGTGGGGATGGGAACCCAACCCTCTAGCCAAAAGCCTCCCTACAAAGAAAACCTAAGGCAAGAAGCACATCACAAACACTGTTAGTCCCATCAGGAGGCAGATCTGTGTGAGTTCGAGGCTAGCCAGCACTATATAGTGAAACCCAATTTCAAAACAAAAGACAAAACATCAAAAATCCTAGGTCAAGACTTTACAGATTGATTCTAGAAAACATTCAAAGAATAAAAAATTCTAAGTATATATGATCTTGAGTATAGAAAAAGCAAGGCTATCTTTTATTTTGTTTAAAAAAACTCTTAATTATTTTTTAATTAAAAAATCTTAAGTTATCTACTGTGTGTGCATAATTTACTGTTGTATGCATGTGGGTAGGTGGGTGTGTGCAGGTCAGAGGACAGACTGTGTGTGGGAGCTGATCACCTTTGTCAGTGTGGAGCTCGGGGAGTGAACCCAGCTGTCAGGTTCAGCAACAAGAACTTTTAACCACTGAACCATTTCACAACCCTGCCCTCCCCCCTTTTTTAATTTTCTGAGGTTAGCATGACTTTATCAACAGAATGGTAGAGGGACACCTGAGAAGTTCCAAGGCGGTCCAGTCCCTAAGGACTGTTACAGGTCAGAATTACTCATGAGCAAACATACAAATGCCCTGATGCAATGGTTCAGTGAGTAAAGCATCTACCACACCAGGTGAGCACCTCCACTGAAATCTCCAAAACCCACGCAAAGCTGCTACAGGGAGATGGGAGGTGGAGAGAACCTCTAGAAGCTTGTGAGTCTTCGAGTCCCACAGGCAAAGCCAAAGTGAAAGCCTGCTGTGTAAGAGTATTTTAACTAGGCAAAGACTTGTTACATTGTTTATGCCGCCTTTGTTACTGGTTGTAAAGATTGTTACATTTGTTTCACCTTGTCTGCCTAAGGCCTCTGACAGGTCAATAAAAAGCTGAGCCACCAATAGCTAGACAGGAGAGGGATAGGCCAGGCTGGCAGGCAGAG